GCAACCGACAAATGCTGGCGAAGTTGTGGAGAAACTGGAACCCTTATTCACTGTTGGTGGGAGTGTAAAATGGTGCAACCACTGTGGAAAGCGGTATGGTGCTTTCTCAAAAATTTGCAAATAGAGATATCATTTGACTCAGCAATCCACTCTGGGAAATTTACCCCGAAGAGACCATAATTGACATCCAAGCAGGTATATGCACAGCCATGTTTATTGCAGCTTTGTTCACAATAGCAAGGAGTTGGAAACAACCTAAGTGCCTATCAACAAACAAATGGATAGAGAAGCTGTGGTATATTCACACAATGGAATACTATGCTGCATTGAAAAACAAGGAACTCATTCAATATTGTTCGAAATGGTTGACTCTGGAGAACATTATGCTGAGTGAAATATCCCAGTCACAAAAGGACAAACATTGCATGGTGTCACTGTTGTAAAAGAAGACTGACCTTGGGATTGGGGAGAGACAGAGTAAGATGGGTTCAATAATGTATACTGCACTGACTCTAAGGAGGGCGAAAACTGTTTAAAAGAGATATGTGATTAGCTATTTCTGTCATGACAAGAGTCTAGAGCAATGGTTACATGGTGGAGTGGACATGGGGGAGGGTTTGTAAAACAATGAAAGATTTTTTTTTACTTTTCCAAGAGAGTAGTGTTCTGGGGGGGAGGCTTAGGAGGGAAGAAATGTACAACAATGAATGAATGGAAATCCGAAGCCTCTGTAAATTTTTACTGAAATTAATAATAAATTTAAATTTAAAAAAAATAAGTTAGAGTAAGGAAGACAATGGATTTATAACTGCTCATGCTAATAATACTATTTCATGACATGGAGGAGGAATAGTCGAACTGTATCCACATTTACAATATTCTTCTTACCAAAACCATTTATGGAAAATAGGAACTTCATTGGAACATGTATCTCTAAATTGGAAATGATCATATTGTTAGTATTTCTAGCCTTAAGCTTAAACGATTATAATGTTGAAAATTATTTGTTATATATTTGATTAAATTTTTCCCTCTTTTAACAACTGGGATCTAGAGGGAAGAGAAAAGACCAGAGAATGGCCAAAATTATTGGAGCAGCTATTGCTGCCAGTTTAGGGCCTGTGTCAGGAAAAGGAAGTCTTACTCATAAACAGTGCCACACAAAGGTAATAAAGGAGGTCAGAATTGCTTCCACTGTGGAAAGCTGTGACACTTCAGTAGACAGTGTCACAGACGAGAGCCACAGAAAGACAAGGGCGTAGAGAGGAAGCTCCTACTCACTTGCTTTAAGTGTGGACCTGAAGGACACTTGGCCAAAGTGGCCCACATCAGGTCCTCTTTGCTGACAGGACTGACAGGCCCCAGCTCCCAGTTGGAAACAAAGGAGGATGCTTCAATGATTTAGATCCTCCAAGAAGAGCTGTGGGTGAGCATTAACATTACTGGTAAGTATATTCCTTTTCTCCTGGACACAAGAGCCTAGTATTTGCTCCTAAAAGCCTTCTGAGGTCCCAACTGTTCTCACTATTTCTTAGTTGTTGGAATTGACGGAAAACCTCATAAACAATTCCTTACTTCACCTCTGCCTTGCATGCAGACTTTGAGCTGTAAAACAACCCAGTGGTAGATGGAATTTGCTCCAGGACTTAAGAACAATAAATTACATAGTTGAGCCTCTACATCTTGTGGTTCCTAACCTTTATACTATAATAGACAAAGTGCTTGTCAAGAAGCCTTTTATTTTAAGAACTACCTTCCCTCTGTAACTTGATTTGTGCCACTGTTAGAACCTCTAGTTGGAATATTATTGCTTTTTAATTTTTGACTCATGTACTTTTAGCTTGTTAGTTAAATTTGTGTCTTCTAGGCTGCAACACTTCCACGATACATCTTCAAGGATATGAACATGTACGGCTAAGCGCAATTGATAATAGTGCATTTAAATTCCAAAATCAATCTCCACAATAGTCTACATGTTTCCTATTGCCAAAGGGGCCCTTTAGAGTAGTGAGAGAAGATCTTCAAGCTGAAACCTACAGCGTCCTTTTTCAGCAGGAAGTAGCTAAGAGAATACGCCGTCCCCTTTTCCTTATGAATCAGGATGAAGTCTCTCTCAGGGAGGAGTGATAGGGAATGGCAAAGGACACACTGACAAAGGAGATTAATCAGAACTGGCTTTGACAAGCACTGTGGC